CTTTCTTTCTTTCTTTCTTTCTTTCTTTCTTTCTTTCTTTCTTTCTTTCTTTCCTTATTATATATAAGTTCTGTAGCTGTCTTCAGACACACCAGAAGATGGCATCTGATCCCATTACAGATGGTAATGGGTACATGGTGAGCCACCCTGTGGTTGCTGGGAATTGAACTCAGGACCTACTGGAAGAGCAGCCAGTGTCTAAACCACTGAGCCATCTCTCCGGCCCCCATAATTTGTTTTTGGGGAGGAGGTGCATGGGCACACACATGGAGGCCTGAGATCACCTTGCAGGAATGGGTCCTCTCCTGCCACTGTGCACTTGGCAAAGACTGAGCTGAGGCTGTTGTTGGGTTGGCTGCTGAGACATCTTGCCATGCCACCTCCTTTAAATAGACAGGGACTCTGGATGGCCTGGAAATTTGCCAAGTTGGTAATGCTGTCTGGTCAGTGAGCCCCAGAATCTTCCTGTCTCCTCGCCGGTGCTGGAATTACAGAACTACCATGCCTGGCTTTTTTAGAGTTTCTGGAGAATCGAACTCAGGTCCCTATGCTTGCATGGCAAGCACTTTACTGACTCAGCCATTCTGTAAGCCTGGCTCTCTGCTCTGGATGGTGCTAGCCAGGGGTGCACCTGTAGCCATGGCTTACATCCTGCAGCCAGGTCTGCTGGTGCAAGTCCTGGCTTTGTGTCCTTAGGCAAGATGCATGCCTCCCTGTGCTTACCTCCTGGCTAGGGCATCCTAAGAGTTAGGTGAACAATTATGGGATAATCTTACAGGGTGAGTTGGCCCCCAAACAGGACACTCTGCAGGTTTTCATTCCCAAGGACTCTGAAGTTATAAGATCCAGGGCCGGGAGTGGGACGGTGGGTAAGTGGGGCCTGAAAGAAAACAGGGACAGAGCTTCAGACAAGGGAGTTGGAAAGTTCTAGAGATAGATGGCGGGGAAAGCCACACAGCCCTGTGAATGAGCTTCATGTCACCGAGCCATGTGCTTGAAATGGCTCAGATTTTGTTAGGCGTTTTTAGGACAGGGATTTTGAAAACACAGAATCAGCACAGACAGAGGAGAACTGGTGTGAATAACTCATTAAACAGCAGAAAGCTCCGTGGCCTGTGTGAGCATTTCCTTGCTCCTGCTGACCACAGGGCCTTGGAGTTGGCCATTGCCACGTCTGTGTGGAGATGTTCCTCCAGAGACTCGGGCAAGTCCCTCCTCAGGGTGAGCACACTGGGTACCCCACACAGCCAGCACCCTCAGCTTTCCCCTGAGGGTAGGTGACAGGTCATCCCACAGTGAGGCCAGTTACCAACCTGAGTGGGGCCAGCAGCCATGTGTGCTCAGATTGATTGACTCCATCCATATTTAATGTCGCCATGCTGGGGATAAACATGGTAGGTGGGTCCTCTCCTGCCTGCATGCCCAGCCCAGGCTGCACAGTCTAAGGTGGATACTTGGTATATAGGTGCTTGGTATATGGGTACTTGGCATGTGGGTACTTGGCGTGTGGGTGCTTAGTGTTTGAGTACTTGGCATGTGGGTGCTTGGAACACAGTATTTTATTTTGTATGCAGGTGCTTATTTATGAGGCATTGTCTATGCAGACAGAGTGTGGTGTCACATAGTTCCTGGCAGGTGGTTAGAGGCTAGGACACTGCCCAGCAGCCCTCAGGGTCCAGTATGCCCCACAAAGCATGACCTGGAACTGTGGCCCCAGAGCCTGGGGAAGAGGCCAGGTCTCTGAACTGTCAGTTAAGTAGAGAGGGGCTGGGGAAGGTGGCCCACAAGCATGAGGACCTGGGTTCAAATCCTCAGCAACCAGGAAAAATGAGGTGTGGTGTTCCTTGCCTTGTGGTGTAACTGCAGCAGGGGAGACAGGACTGGAGACCCTGGGACTACTGGTCAGATTCCAGCTGGGCTGTGAGAGCCACCCCAAAATAAGATGGAAGACGGCAGCAGCACCTGCCTCTGCCCTCCACGCAGAGAAACACATAGACAGATAGATGGACAGACAGACAAATCGGACTGCACAGCCGGCAGCTCAGTGCCCACCTCTCCCTTACCCCCTAGCATCAGCAGCAGGTGCTCCAGGCCGTGGACCGAGCCAAGCAGGTGACCGTGGGGGAACTGAACAGCCTCCTGGGGGTGAGTCGTCCCAGCCCATCTTTGGTGACGCCCTGGTCCCAGTCCAGGCACCCAGTGGGTGCTAACCCCCCTACACTCAGCACGCAGCCTCCGTGCACCCTGTCCCTGCCGCCCGCCTCCCCCTGGCCATCCTCTCCCCATTCAGCAGCAGAATCAGCTCCAGCCGCTGTCCCACGCACCCCCTGTGCCTCTCACCCCGCGCCCAGCCGGCCTGGTGGGTGCCGGGGCCACTGGGCTGCTGGCCCTATCTGGGGCGCTAGCTGCGCAGGCCCAGCTGGTGGCCGCCGTCAAGGAAGACCGTGTGGGTGTGGACACCGAGGGATCCAGAGGTGAGTGGGCGACCCAGTGCTGGCGGGAGGGTGACAGCTAGTAGGGGCTGCAGCTGTGGGGTTCAGTTTTCATGCTGTTTGTCCTTGGGAAGACACTAGCTGTCCCTGGGATGTGGGAGGTCGGCTTCTGACCGGGAAGGAGCTGGAAGGGGCTGCTCGGCCCATCAAACCTTGCGTGGTTACAACGCCTAATCATCTGCTTGCTTTCGGCTTGGCTTCCTGCCGTCTGCAGTGGACAGAGCTGCCAGCAGGGTGAGTGCCAGCTGGGAGAACTTGCTTGTGTTCAAGTAGACTAGGGGATTGGGAGTGGGCCTGTCTCCAGCCTTCGCCACCTGGGCACTGCGAGGACACCAGCGTCACTGCATCCGGTGTGCAGGGTGCTAGGGCCTGGTGAACGAGATGTGAGCGCTGTTATTTTATGAGACAGGGTCTCAGTTACAGACATCCTCCTGCATCTTGGGTTCTGACATTAGAACAACCCGGCCGGCCGGCTGTGGCTATTGGCTTACCGAGGCAGAGACCTTAGCAGTGAAGCTGACATAGAATCCCCAGTGAGGGGCTGGGGGCGTGGCACGGGTGGATCGATCCCCCAGTGAGGGCCACTCAGTGCTGGCTAGACAAGAACGGAGTGTGAGAACCGACCTTACACCCTTTCTTACAGAGTTCTTCCCCCTCGCCCCCTGAGAGTCTGGTAGAAGAGGAGCACCCCGGCAGCCGAGGTAGCAATGGGAAACAGCAGCGAGCTGGAGACAAGGACCTGTCAGGGCCTTATGTGAGTTTGGGACAGAGAAGCAGAGGACCGGGGTGGAGGGGGTGGACCGGACTGGCCCTGTCAGATTCATGGGAACCATGTCCCTCATGCTCAGTTCTGTAACTTCGAGTAGTTAATCAAAAGACACTTCATGCCTCCAGGCGACACTGGTAAGGGTTTGTAGCCTATGGGCCATGCGGCTGTTCTGATGATATGTTTCCACCATGAACTGAACTGCTGGTGTAGCTCAGAGGTAGAGTGCCTGTAAGAGTCCCTCAGTGAGGGTCTAGGGACATGACTCAGGGACAGAGACCCTGGGCACCATGCTCAACAGCACAGGGGAAAGTACACTTTGGAGGGAATGGGAGGTGGCAATTTTGCAGAATTCAATTCAGGTTGCACCCCTGCCCCTCCCGGTGGGCATAGCCTCCTCTGGTCTGTCCTGGTGCTTGGGTCAGGAGTCAGGTCCGTCATCTGGGAATGAAGCTGGACCCTGGTGTCCCTCCAGAGGGCAGTGGGAGCCACAGAAGGCTATAGAGGAAAGGCAGCGAGTCTGGAGTGGGGAGGCTGTGTGGGGGGTGGGTCAGAGCCCCCCCAGACAGACCTGCCTGAGCCTTTAGTTGTTGAGTTGAGGCAAGGAGAGAGCTGGGCATGGGTGTGGAGACAGGGGCATGACTGAGGTTGTGTGCTCTTTGTCCTCCTTAGGACAGTGAGGAAGACAAGAGTGACTATAACCTGGTAGTGGATGAGGTGAGATGGTGGGTGATGGGCCAGGGAGGGAGATGGAGGGAAGAAATTCCTGGCTGTCTCTGGCACACTCAGACTGGAGAGGTGGGGCAGGCAGTTGAGGACTCTGGAATGCCTGTCACAGCACAGGTGGGGAAACTGAGGCCCACAGGATGATGGAAGAGGTGGAGCCCCACCGCAGAGGCTCCAGTCTCCATGAAGTGGGGGCAACATGGCAGTTGAAGGAGCCTTTCCTGTCTCACTGGTCCCACCCAATGTCACCTCTTGAATCCAGGACCAGCCATCAGAGCCCCCCAGCCCTGTGACCACCCCGTGTGGGAAGGCGTCCCTCTGTATTCCAGCCCGCAGGGACCTCACAGACAGTCCAACCTCCTTGGCCTCCAGTTTGGGCTCACCGCTCCCCAGAAGCAAAGACCTATCCCTGGTAAGGAAGACAGGGCACCTGAAGCCCAGATAGACTCCAGCGAGCAAGTCAGCTAGGCTGGGGCAATCTGCACTTTCTTATTCGTTTGCTTTGCTTGCTTTTGTTTGGTTTGGTTTTGCTTGTTGTTTTTTGGTTTTGTTTTGTTTGAGAAATAATATTTCTTGGCCCCCAACTCTTTAAATAGTCTAGGATGGCACCGAATCCTAACTCTCCTGCCTCTACCTCTGTGGGAAACTCCCTTACCACAGAGGACTTTTTCATTTTTTTTATTTATTTATTTATTTATTTATTTATTTATTTTTTGATTCTTTGGGCCCCTCTTTTTTTCCCCACAAATCTCTGCTGAACTTCAGGAAACATTTTAAAAGCAGCTTGTTGACCAAGCTGGGCAAAGCAATAGGACTGCGTCAGGTGACTTGCTCTCTGCAATAGTGACGCCCCAACCGCAGCACTGGGTCCTGGCTGGTCTGAGACTTGATCCCAGTGATAAGTGCTCCTGGAATCCAGTAGAGGCATCCCCTAGATAGCCTGGGAAGTCTGGCTCCCTCCCTGCATCTTGCCCAAACCCTCTGACCTCCAAGTTACCCAGGGACAGAGGACATTTGTTTCTAAGCCCCCCCCCACCCTTGCAGGTTGCCATGGCAACTCCCAGCCATACTGGGCTTCCACTTTGTCTAATCTTCTCCCCACTCAGAGAGACCTTCGGGGTGCAGAGCCACTTTAGCCAGCTGGGGACACCACCAAGGACGTCCCTCAGCCCACCAGGGTCACTTGTCACCTTGTGTGGGAGACAGACACAGGCCAGAAAGCAAGGCAGCTCCCTGTGATGGCACAGATTAGCCCAACACCGTGGAGGTGGAGATGGAAGGATAGGAATCCAAAGTCAGTTCAGGGCTAGCCTTTGCTACCTGAGCCCTGTCTCACAAAACATGCCCTCCAAAAGCAGAGGTTTGGCTGGCAGCCCTGTTTGTCACGTCTCTTCCGTAGGGAGGTAGAGAGGTCGGTGATGAATTTCACCTAGGGCTGAGGACCCCTCTTGGCCCCATAGTCCCATTGCTCAGGGAGCTGTGAGTTTTGTTAATTGCTTTTTGAAACAGGGTCTCACTATGTAGACCAGGTTGGTCCAGAACTCACAGAGATCCACCCACCTCTGCTCTGAAGTGCTAGGATTAAAGGTTGTGCCACCACATATGGTCATGCCTAAATTAAAACATGTTGGAAAGCCAGGTGGTGGCAGCACATGTCTTTAATCACAGCATGCAGGAAAATCGCTGAGTTCAAGGCCAGCCTAGTCTACACAGTGAGTTCCAGGACAACCCGGGCTACACAGAAAGACACTGTCTCGAAAAATAATTTTTTAAAAATTTGTATGTGTGTGTATGTGTGTGTGTGTATGTGTGTGTATATGTGTGTATGTGTGTGTGTATGTGTGTGTATGTGTGTGTATATGTGTGTGTATGTGTGTGTATGTGTGTGTATGTGTGTGCATGTGTGTGTATGTGTGTGTGTGTATGTGTGTGTATGTGTGTGTGTATGTGTGTGTATGTGTGTGTATGTGTGTGTGTATGTGGTGTGTATGTGTATGTGTGTGTGTATGTGTTTGTGTGTATGTGTGTGTGTATGTGTGTGTATGTGTGTGTATGTGTGTGTGTACACAGTGCTGCAGTGTGCATGTGGAGGTCAGAGGCTACTCTGGGGGTCTGTTCTCTCCTCCTACCACGTGGGGTTTGGGGATTGGATACAGAATGTAGCCGAAATCATCTTTACATGCCGAGGTATCTTGCCAGCCCAATGGCCTCTAACTTTGCTGCTGTTATCTTTGGGTAGCACGGTCGCTGGCCCCAAGAGCCCCATGTCTGTGTATGAACCCTCTCCTGTGGGCCCAGTTAACACCCGCAATCCTGAGGATGTATTTACACCACTGACTCAGGCTCACCCAGCTTTCCCTGAGCCCATCAAGTGTCTGAGAGACTGACTGGTTGCTGTGCGTGCGCCCTCGATCCCCTCTGACAGCCTTTCTTTCTCTACAGACCGATCTTCCCACAGGCACTCCTGCCTCCAGGTCATGTGATCCTTCTCCACCCCAGGACTCATCCACCCCGGGGCCCAGCTCAGCCGGCCACCTTGGCCAACTGCCAGCTCAGCCGGCACCATCCACAGACAGCATTGGTGAGTCCCCACCTGCCCGGCGTACCTCTGTTCCAGGGGGACCCCCAAACAGAAACGATGAGAGAGTTGGCCGTGGTGGCGCACACCTTTAATCCCAGGTGAATTAGAGGCCATCCTGGGCTACATAGTGAGAACATGTGTGAAAAAAAAGAAAAGACTGTGAAGGGCCAGCCTGAGCTTAGAGAGGGCTTCTGAGAGAAGGAATGGCTGGGAGCATTGAAAACAAATGACTTGAAGTCAAACCATGAGTCCAAGCTGGTGGCCAGTGTTCCTCTGCTGCAGACGGCTTCGGCTTCCCAGCCTTTTTCTCTGTTCTGCTCTCTCTCTCTCTCTCTCTCTCTCTCTCTCTCTCTCTCTCTCTCTCTCTCTCTCTGTGTGTGTGTGTGTGTGTGTGTGTTCTGTTTGACCCAGTGCTCCAAGTGGTTCTCTCTTACTATTCTAGAAACTCTCTCTGGATAGCTCATCTCCTGAAGATCATAAGCCCAGTCTTTTATTTCCTTCCTTTTGATTATCTATGACCCTGTGACCTCAGTCCCTTAACTCTTAGGAGACAACAAGCACACATTTTCTTTTAACATTGCAAAAAGGATTCAGAGATCCGCCTGCCTCTGTGAAGCACAGATGCTAAGCTAGCTGCTAAGACATTGACCACACCTTCATCTCCGGACTCAGAGCTGTCAGAGTGTCATGGAGTCACTACTGTTAACAGGGAGGACATTCCTTAAAGAAGAATGTAATATCTGTCCATTAGTACGCAAGCAAGCCTTTCAGCCTTGATGACCTTTGGGGTCCATGTCTGCTGGCCTTGTCCCCTGTCCCAGGGGCAGGTACCTTGTCATTCTGTCCCCACCAAGGCTATGCCAAAGGAAAACAAGATAAAGGGTGAGAGAAGCTGACTGACCTCAAATTTACCACCTGAACTTCTTCTAACCCCAGCCAGGTGCTACCTGGCTCTGGGCCTCAGCCTCTTTGTTCTGCTGCTGCTTAGGTGAGGACACTGAGGTCCGGGACGCCAGTGTGACTTTCCTAGTTTAATGATTGTGAGACAGACGTGTGCCTTCACTAGCTGTGTGACCTTAGGCTAGTCGTCCAACCTCTCTGAGCCTTGTTTCTTCTCCTTCACTGGGTCTAGGGTTTTGAAGGATTTTGTAGGATGTGTAGCTCTTCAGCTGAAGGACAGCGAAAGTATGATTTGTGTATCTGAGTGTGTGTCCCGGCCCTTTTCACTCAGCCCTGAGGAGTCCCCTGACCCTGTCCAGCCCTTTCACCTCATCCTTCAGCCTGGGCTCCCACAGCACCCTCAACGGGGACCTCTCCATGCCTGGCTCCTACGTCAGCCTCCACCTGTCCCCACAGGTCAGCAGCTCTGTCGTGTGTGGACGCTCACCTCTGGTGAGTCTTTGGGGTATGGAGCACCAGGACGGTCAGCAGAGTCCAGAGATCTGGGGAGGGCAGAGGGAGAAACCAGCATATCCAAAGACACCAGAATAAGTAAAGAGAGGGGCTGAGGCCGAATTCGGTGGTAGAGTGCTGGCCTGGCACGCAAAAGCCCCAGGTACATTCCCAGCACCGTGTAAACTCTGCATGGGGTGCCAGCCTGTCACCCCAGCACTCAGGAGGCAATGTGGGGCAATCAGGAGTTCTAGACCAGCCTAAACCACACAGAAGTTAGCACTTGCCCTGTGGGCAAAACAAAAGGAATAAGGCTGGGTCAAAAAGCCTGGCCCAGGAGGTTATTTAGGAATCTGATAGCAATCTTGCAAGCATTTCTGCTTGCTTGGGGAGGGCCAGAGGGACCGAGGGGTGTGGGCTGGGACCTGGGTGAGGGGGTGCTGGGCGCCCCTGCCTTGGGACTCTCTGGCCTCTGGCAGATGGCATTTGAGTCGCACCCCCATCTCCGAGGCTCGTCTATCTCCTTGCCTGGCATCCCTGGGGCTAAGCCGTGAGTAGCACGTGGGCTGTGCCATCTCCAGGGTGTGTGGGAGGCCTGAGTCCCTTCTTCCTGGGAACATCCCCGTGTTACACCTTGAGTGCCTGTCATTGGCAGCCCGGGTACCTGTTCTGGAGTGGGGTGGGGTAAGCTACCCACCCATCTCTGCGGCTTCTACAGGGCTTACTCCTTCCACGTGTCTGCGGATGGCCAGATGCAGCCGGTGCCCTTCCCTTCGGATGCGCTGGTAGGCACGGGCATCCCTCGCCACGCGAGGCAGCTGCACACACTGGCCCATGGTGAGGTGGTGTGTGCCGTCACCATCAGCAGCTCCACACAGCACGTGTACACAGGCGGCAAAGGCTGCGTGAAGGTGTGGGACGTGGGCCAGCCCGGCAGTAAGACACCTGTAGCACAGCTGGATTGCCTGGTGAGGGTGGGGCCTATGTGGCTGGGTGGGGGTTCGCGGTTGGGCCGGGTTTTTAGGGCTAGGGCGGGGTTTACAAGGCTGGGTGGGGTCTGTAGGGTCAGGTGGGGCCTACAGTAACACTGGGTCTGTGGAGACCTCGGGGAGTACCAACCCCGCCTGGCCCTGCTTCTCGCCGTGGCAGAACCGGGACAATTACATCCGCTCCTGCAAGCTGCTGCCTGACGGGCAGAGCCTGATTGTAGGTGGCGAGGCCAGTACCCTGTCCATTTGGGACCTGGCAGCACCCACACCACGCATCAAAGCGGAGCTGACCTCGTCCGCCCCGGCCTGCTACGCGCTGGCCGTCAGCCCGGACGCCAAGGTCTGCTTCTCCTGCTGCAGCGATGGCAACATCGTGGTCTGGGACCTGCAGAACCAGGCCATGGTCAGGTGTGTGGGGCAGCCCCGGGGGTGCTGAGTGCACAGGTGATTGCAGATATGAATGCCTGCGCTCTCCCCACAGACAGTTCCAGGGCCACACGGACGGGGCCAGCTGCATCGACATATCAGACTATGGGACCCGGCTGTGGACTGGGGGCCTGGACAACACGGTGCGCTGCTGGGACCTGCGTGAGGGTCGCCAGCTTCAGCAGCATGACTTCAGTTCCCAGGTGCGCCCACAGTCCTCGGCCTCCCCGGGGGGTGCCCCTACCCGGCCCGAAACCCGATAGGACACAGGGTCTGTGGAGACGGCTTGGTGGGTAAAAAGTATTTGCCTCGATAGCATGAGTTCAAATCCCTAGAATCCACATTAAAAGCCAGACATAGTTAGACATTAAAAAAAAAAAACAAACAAACCTGCCTATAACCCAGGGCATGCAGCGAGCTGGAGGGCCAGATTAGTCAAATAAGCTCCAGGCTCAGTGAGAGACTGCCTCAACCAATCTGAGGAGCTGGATGTGATAACACATCTTTAAAAAAGATTTACAGCAGGGCGGTGGTGGCACATGCCTTTAATCCCAGCGCTTGGGAGGCAGAGGCAGGTGGATTTCTGAGTTCGAGGCCAGCCTGGTCTACAGAGTGAGTTCCAGGACAGCCAGGGCTACACAGAGAAACCCTGTCTCGAAAAAACAAAAAAACAAACAAAAAAAGATTTACTTATTTCATGTATGTGAGTACACTGTAGCTGTCTTCAGACACACCAGAAGAGGGCATCAGACCCCATTACAGATGGTTGTGAGCCACCGTGTGGTTGCTGGGAATTGAACTCAGGACCTCTGGAAAAGCAGCCAGTGCTCTTAACTGCCGAGCCATCTCTCCAGCCCGGGACATGTCTTTAATCCCAGCACTGAGAGGCAGAACAGGTGATCTCTGTGAGTTCCAGGGTGTTCAGAGCTGAACAGTGAGACTATCGCAACCCCACCCCCAATAATAAAAAGCAATACTACCAAACTAAGAGTGACTCTGCAGCCTCCACCCGATGCTCCTGCCTCCCCATCAGTCAGAAGCAGGACACAGAGCCCTGGACCTTGAGCCTTACAGCCTGCTCCCTCTGAGTGCTAGGGTGTGCACCTGTCACTGGCCACCCTTTTGTCCCCATAAGCGGCGCTCCTGGGTCTCCCTCCAGCATCCTGAGTGGCCCCAGGTCTCAGCGTTCTCTCTTGCCCTAGATCTTCTCGCTGGGCCACTGTCCGAGTCAGGACTGGCTGGCCGTGGGGATGGAGAGCAGCCACGTGGAGGTCCTGCATGTGCGCAAGCCTGAGAAGTACCAGCTCCGCTTACACGAGAGCTGTGTGCTGTCACTCAAGTTCGCTTCCTGTGGTATCGGCCTGGGAGCCCCTCTGGACGGCAGGGCGGGGGAGGATGGATGGGGCACCCAAAGGCTCAAATTAGTGAGTTACCCAGGCCTGTCCACCCAGCTGCTTATTGAGGTCAGGACCAGTTTAGATAAATGCCCAGACACACTGACCTCTTAAAAAACAAACAAAAAAAGGATGGGCCAGGTCAGGTGACTTGCATGCCTTAATTCCAGCACTTGGGAGGTAGAGGCAGGGGGATCTCTGAGTCCAAGGCTAGCCTGGTCTACAGAGTGAGTTCCAGGACAGCCATGGCTGCACAGAGAAACTATCTCGAAAGAAAGACAACTATGGAAGACATTCCGAGTTGACTGGCAATGCTCAGGGTTCTGATACTGCAGAGTAGTAGGCTTCTGGTTGGAGTGAATTTCTAAGCTTTTGGACAGAGGTGCTGAGCTCCTGAGGGTCAGTACCATCCTCCTCTCTGCCCCCCACCCCCAGGACGCTGGTTTGTGAGCACAGGCAAGGACAACCTGCTCAATGCCTGGAGGACGCCCTACGGGGCCAGCATTTTCCAGGTACTCACCTCCCCTGACGGAGGCCAGCTCTGCGTGTCCCTATCCGAGGCATTTCCCACACTTTGGGTTCCTTACTGAGCATGATGTGGCCACGCTCCTGCTCATGGCTGAGTGACCATTAGGAAGTGAATGGCCCACACCGTGCTGGGCGTGGGGGCCATGTTTTAATCCTTTCAGCCATGGCTTCCCCCACTACAGTGCACAGCTCTGCTTCCCTCTGCATTGTTTTTAGTGTAGATGAAATCTGAAAAAGGGCCTGGGCCTGGAATGGGGCCGTGCCCTTCTCAGCTTAGGTGGCAGCTTCTCTTGAACTTTCTGTGGCTGTGTCATAGTGGTCTTTCACATTTCCTGTCCTTCCCAACCACCCAGGACCCCAGCATCTCCTCCAATCCTGAGCTGCACCATTGTCTTTTGAGTTAGAGCCTTTTTATCAACGCTTAAGCTGGGGACACCACTGTCCCTCCAGGACATGGTGACACAGATCTGTGATCCCGGCACTTGGAAGGGTGTGGCAGGAGCATGGTTGGTTTGAGTGAGTCTCAGAGGGGAGGGGCTTTGTTGTGAAGCCATCTGTAGTTGAGCTGTGATGTGTCAGGCTAGCTCCGTCCCCAGCTAGAAGCCCTGGCACAGCTACTCCAGCAGCTCGGGTCCCCCTCCTCCATGCTTCAAGTCTGAGCTTCATGGTGGTGACCATGTGGCTGCCCCTCACCTCTCCTTTCTTTGTCCCAGTCCAAAGAATCTTCTTCTGTATTGAGCTGCGACATCTCCAGGAATAACAAGTACATCGTGACAGGCTCAGGGGACAAGAAGGCCACTGTATATGAGGTGGTATATTGAGCCATCTGCTGCCTTTTCAGGTCACCTGCCTTGGATGGCTGACCACTCGGGACATAGGTCCCTCTGCTCTCACACCTGACTTGCCCCCTCCTAGCTGGGTGGGGCTGGGGGCACTGGGGAAATATAATATTGATCAACTTGCTTTCCTTTTGTGTGTGTGTCAAGCGAACAGAGGTGAGGGACCCAGCTGGGTGTCATTCTTCATTTCTCTTTACCCCAATTTTCAGAGTCTGGACCTTACTGATGTGCCCTGGCAGATGGGTCAAGAAACCCCAGGGATCCTATCTACAGAGCTGGATCAGGGGGTCAGACTCACCCCTTCTGCCTGCCTGGCCAGCACTCAACTGAGCCATCCTCTAGCTCTCTTTAAAACAAAAACAGGGTGGGGCCGGTTTCTCAGTGTGGCAGGTATAGCCCTGGCTGTTCAGAAACTATGTAGACCAAGCTGGCCTGGAACTCAGAAATCTGACTGCCTCTGTCTCCTGACTGCTGGGAGTAAAAGCAAACACTAAGAAGTTGGAGGGCTCAGAGCTACCAAGTCCTTCCAAACCCTGGGTAAAGAACGATCTCTGCCTTTTCAATTGCTTTATTACATGTGACTGGGGGTCTGCACACCCCATGGAACTCTCCAGAAGCATTGCAGACCCTTCACACCCATCGCCGTCCACCACTGTGCAGTTAGGGGAGGGGAGCTGAAGCCGTCAGTGCATGATGTGGTACACCGAGGCACAGTCCCCAGATCCTGTGACAATGAGCCGGCCGTTCTCAGCCATGTCGAGGCATCTGATGGTGGCAGCCTCAGGGACCTGTGAGACAGCAGCTGAGTGAGCTCAGTTCTTCTCCACCCAGAGCTGCCCAGAACTGGCCCCTGTGGGGTGCTGAGGGCCCTGCCGACAGCCCCCAGTCCCCACCGCACGTTGAGTACCTGGAACAGTTTTGTCCCTGTGGGCATGCTGTGGAGGGTGACAAGGCTGTCCATACCTACGCTCGCCCACCACTGGCCTGGGACGAGGGGAGAAGACAGTGAGGTTACAGCAGATCTGACCCAGTCACTCCCATCCAGCAGTACCCAGGAGGCTGAGGCAGGAGGATTAGAGTTTGCGATGAGGATGAGCGTGGGCTACAAAAGACCCTACCTCAAAGAACAAGGCGGAACAGCAAAAAGTTTTACTGTTTTGTCTTATGTTTCTGCTGTCTTAAGTCTTACATAGCTCAGGATACCCTCAAACTCCCCAAGTAGCCAGATATGACTGAACTCCTGATTATGTCAATAAAAGATGTTGGGGTGTATGTGGACTGTGTCAAAGCCCTGAGTGGGCATTGATTAAGCAGCAGCATCTTCCCAAAGGCCAGTGACCACGCTCATCCTCAATGGACTCTTTTTCCCAGACAGGGTTTCTCTGTGTAGCCCTGACCGTCCTGGAACTTACTCTGTAGACCAGGCTGGCCCCAAACTCAGATCTGTCTGCCTCTGCCTCCCAAGTGCTGGGATTAAAGATCTGAGCCACCATGCCCAGGCTCAGTGGACTCCTTACCATCTGGGGAGAACTTGAGGTCCAGGATGGTCTTGTCCTTGGTGCCCGCAGTGAGCACCTGGCTGTCTTTGCTGCTGAACAGGCAGTGCTGGCCGTCGGCCAGGCCCAGTAGCAGCCAGTCTTCAGTTGGACTGTGAGACAGGCTCATGATCTGGGTGAATCAGGCAGAAGCAGCAATCAGCCTCCCGCTGAGCTGCATGAGCCCCCCCCCCCCCCCAGTCGCTGACCAGCTGTGACCTGTTTCTTTACACAGTCCCTAGTCCCCGTGCTTCTCTTTCTTGAGGTTCATGAACTTTACAGGGTTAAACATGGCAGTGACAAGTCTGTTTCCCTTTTTCAGTTTTATTGAGACATGGTCTTGGCTCCATAGCCTAGGCTAGGCTGTAGTGACTTATCACATAACCCAGGCTGGCCTTAAACTCTAGCATAAAATATCTGCAACGACAGTCTTCATTTTATGTAGCCCAGGATATCCTTCAGGCCCGTATAGCTGAGGATGGCCTTGAACTTCTGACCCTCCTTCCCCCAGCTCCCTAGTGCTGAGTGACAGGAGTGGTGGTGGACCCAGAACTCGGGAAAGTGTTCCACCCCCTGGACCCAGATCCTTTTCCACTATGAAAGCCCAGGATGGACTCACTGGTTCATCCTCCTGCCTCAGCTTGAGTACTTGGATGACAGCCTTTGCCACCATTGTCCAGGATGACAAAAGTTATTTTAAAAAGCCCTGTGACTTATATTTTTGGTTGTGAGCCTAGCCTTTAACGGCTGAGCCATCTCTCCAGGCCCCCTGTGACGTCTCAAAAGTCACTTGAGCTGCCCTGGGCTGTTCCCTCTCCCTACACCGGGTGCACCTTGTCACCTAACCCGAAGGCCCATGACTGTCCAGCTGCAGCCCTGTCTGTGCACCTGGGACTGGAACGGACACTCCACCAACACCTTGGCGATCCGCAGGTCCCAGCGTCGCAGACAGGCGTCCAGGCCCCCCGTCCAGACACTGCCATCTTTGACCAAAAGGCTCTTGGCCGAGCTGTCAGGGCCTTTGAGGTCCCTGGCCAGAAAGAAAGCAAAGAGGTGAGCCCAGGCTCAGCAGTCTGTGTCTGAGACTCCCCCAAAGCCCTGGGACCAACCCAACCTGCAGGTACTCTTCCACCTATGGCATCACGGGGACAGTGACATCATCCTAAACTCCCTGCCTCTAAAGGGTAATGTTCTAAACTAACACCTATAAATCCAGCACTGAGGAAGCTGAGGCAAGAGGAATGCCATTGAGTTCCAGGCCAGGCTGGGCTACAGAGAGAGACCCTTCCTCAAAAATGGGGGTGAGGGAGAAGACCCAAAGCTGGCTGTGGTGACTCAAAGTCGTCATCCCAGCTACTCAGGGATAAGAGAGGATGACTGCAAGATAGAGCCATCCTAGGCTACAAAGCAACTTCATTCAGTATGATGTCTACAAACTTTACCTGGTCTAACCTAAGATAAAGGCTGAGCAGGGCTTGGCAGCACAAACCTGTCATCCGAGCACTCTGGAGGCAGAGTGGATCTCTGAGGTCCAGGCTAGCCTAGTCTACATATCAAGACCCTATGTCAGATAAAGTGAATAAAAGTAAGTGTTGACCAGATGGCTCCAGGTCGCTCAGTGGGTACAGGAGACCCGAGTTTCGGAGACCCACTTAGTGGAAGGACAGGCTCCTGCAGGTTGTCCTGAGCCTCTGGCTCTCCCTTGTCCCACAAGAATTACAACAAATAAGCTAGGTGCACACAGCACTTGGGAGGCGAAGGCAAGAGGATAAGGAGAATTTAAGGTTATTCTCTGTGCTTGAGGACAACCTGGGCTACATGAGACACTTACCCTAAACTAAAGGTAAAAAGCAGACTGCCTAGAATCCCCTCCAATGATGGGCTGGGGGTGGAGTCCCACCCAGAAGCCCCTAGAGGGCTGGGGAGTGGCTCCACTCTGCGGGGAGGGCTTTGGGCAAGAACAGACCTCAGGACTTGCAGTCCTCAGCTCTGTGTCCTCCTGTCCCTGTGTCTGCACCTGACTATCCCCTGAGTCCGCAGGTCCCATATCCTGACCGTGCCATCTGAGAAGCCTGCAAAGGCCATGTTCTCTTTTGTGCTGGCCAGCGCCTGGCAGGACAGGCCCTCGCAAGGCAGCTGGTACTTCTCATACAGAGATGAGGCTGCCAGGTCCCACATGATCACGCAGGGTAAGTTGTATCCACCCGCGAACAGGGTCCGGCTGTTGGAGGATAGCTGGCAGGTGCGCAGGTATGCCCTGTTGGCCTGCAGAGGACCGTCCCCATGAGCGAGGGTCACCCGAGGCTCTTCCAGCACTTCCCATCCCCTGCACCGTCCCTGCCCGTCACCTGGGCGCTGCACTGCAAGTGGCTTTCGGGGTGTGTGTCGTCAGCTGCCTGGTTCATGAGGTTCCACACCTTGATGCCAGTCTGGCTGCAGGTGAAGACGTGCCGTGTGAAGGAGCTCACAGCTATCGCCAACAGCAGCTCCTGGTGTTTCAGCACACGCACCTTCTGCAGTGCTCGGGGGACCGCGGGCCTCTCCAACTGCATGGGTGATGTGCCAGGCCTCTTCCAGCTGCTCTCTAAGACTTCAGAGTCCCAGGACCTGGGGATATGGGACAGCGTTTTCTAGACAGGTTGGCCTGTGCTCTACGGAGCAAAGGCTGACCTTGAATTCCTAAATCCTCCTGCCACCACCTCTGGAGTTTTAGGAGCCAGGCCCCAATCCCATTCTTCAGTTCTTGCCGCAGCCACACTCACTTCCCACTCTAAAATGCTTTGCCCGATTAGACCAGGTCCTATGCACCCTCGCAGCCTAATATCGGATAGCCCCTTCTCCGAGTCCTCACTCTCCAACCACCAGACTCCGAGAGTCTAGGCTGCCACTTAAGCACGACATTCCTTCTCCAGCCCTTTAAAAGCTGTTCTCACATTTACTCATTAATTGGGGGTTGGAGGGGGCGGAGAGGAGGCAGTGTGGAGTCAGTCTTCATTTTCAACCGTGTAGGTTCCAGGAATGCTACTCAGGCCTAGGCTTGGTAGCAAACACTTTTATCCTCTGAGCCCTTTCACCAGCTCCTGCGCCCTCTACCACCAGATACGGACACGGAAGAGGGACAGAGGGAAGCAGGGGTGGTAACAGTGAGGGGTGGTAGGCAGTGAGGTAACCCTGCTTGCTCTGCACAGGCCAATAGAACAGATACTCACAAGGGCTTCAGAAATGTATCAGCTCTTCTAGAAGATTCCTGCAGTACAAAGAAAGAAGCTGACCCTGCTGGCTCGTGACCTCCCCTCCATCTCTGCATCCAGGTCTCCCACTCACCTGGGTCTCGGACTGCGGCTGACTGATGTCTTCTTGGTAATCACTGAGCAGGCCTAAGGGGGACTTGCTCAGGATGGGGTCGTCTGTGTGGGGACAGGATTCAGGGACTACCCAGGAACTGCGGCCCCGCCCCTCCTAGGCTCCGCCCCTCCTACCAGAGTCACTCAGGCTGTTTCTGTGCCTGGGCCGAGGTTTCGGTTTAGAGTCTTGGCTTTTCTGGGAGACAGAAATGGGTCAGATGGGAGACACGTCACTGAGGGGGGACCTAGCAGACTCTTGGGGGTTCCTGTCTACCGCGGGGATCCTCCAGAGAGGTCTGAATGCAAGGGTGAGGAAGGAGGGTACTGAGGGAACACTATGGGGTGAATCCTTGGGGGTTCCAGTCAAGGGTACTCACCAATTCCAGCAGCTTCTCTGTTGCCATGACAACAGGCAAGGGGACAGGAGAGGAAGGGAGAGGGAGAGAAAGGCTTGTGCCTGGGAGGTCCCCCTCACCTGTGAGAAACCCTCACCCCTGCGCTCCTGTTGGTTCTTTAGGCAGCTGTCCATGAAAATTTTCCACAGTTCCTGGGTCAGGAAGCCTTGCCAGAACTGGGGCTCCTTGTCCCAGATGGGCTGTGGATCCTGGGCCTCATCCACCTCTGAGAGGAACCGACGTCTGGTGGACAGTTGAGGCCCTGGGGTGGCTTTCAACTTGGGGTTCTGGGGGGCTGCAGACTCTGGGGCTTGTTTGTCTTCTTTCTTAGCTGAGTTCTGGGTGGTCTGGACAGAGCCCGTGGGGGCGTCATGAGACACATGACATGGCCAACATGCCTGTTCCCTCCAGTTCCAAGACCAGTCCTCACCTTGTTCATCTCCAGGCGGCCTGGGGTCCTGCTGGACATCTCTATCACATGGAAGGCGTTTTCCATCTAGAACAAATTAGGATCGAGCCTTGCCGAGGGCACAGACATGGGGAAGGGGAGCCTGTGCCAAAGCTTGGCCCTTGGCAAGCTCTTGACTCCGTACAAACGCACAAACCACACCGTACACATCCAAGCATGGTGGTGCACACCCGTTCACCCTTCCCTTCAGAGGCTGAGGCAGGAGGATCAGGAGTTCACTGCCATCCTTGGCTACATACCGAATTTGAGATCCTGTCTCAAAAAAACTTCAGAAAGAAAAAAGAAACAGTACCGCCAGCATGACGGGCTTGGATGGAACCTTTGAAGCATGGAGCTCTGCCCCCATCCCCAGAAAGGCCCACAAGGGAGTCTCCACAAAGGAACCTGAGGCCCAGAGACTCAAACAGCATCAGTGGCCATGGTCTGGTTTTTTCATTAGCCCTGCCCCACCCCCACCCCCACCCCTCCACCCCGGGAGCATTTTGAGAGCACTCAGGATAGAAAGGGGAGCATCAGAGATGGAGGAAGGGAAAGCCCCTGGGAAGGCGTTTGAGGCCCAGGGATCTGCCTCCCAGGGAGGGGATGATGGATTCCAGGGCAGTACCAGCCTGGGGCTGCACAAAGCCCAGGAGAGCCCTCCCAATTTCCCCCAACACTTTAATGTGCAGTTTACTGGGACTCCAGTGTGCCTGGAGTTCTTGGGTCCCACCCTGGGCCCCTCGAGGGTGCCCACAGCCTCCCTCCTTCAGCCACCAGTCTTCACTGGTGGGTGGGGCAGCTGAGTGAGCAACTGGGTCCTGGTGGCCTCCTGTCCCTCTGCTGCCTACTCCCCCCTTGGCCTGCGCTAAGCTGCAGTCTCCGCTCTGGCTCCCTGCCAGTGACATCTGGCCCCGGGCAGTGCCTCCTTCCTGCCAGTGCCCTTGAGAAAGGGGCCAGGTGGCAGGGGAAAGGCGGATGGGGACACACGTGCCTTGGCTTGGGCAGGGGGTGTGGGGAGAGCCGGGTGCCCCTCCACAGGCCCGTCTTCCAGTCATGCGCAGGACTGGTGGCCCCTTCCTGTGTCTCTCTCCTACCCAGGAACCTTCAGGGCCCCTGGGAGCCAGGCGGAAGGATACTCCACAGCAAGATGTGAAGACCCTAAATCAACGCCCACCCGCCCTGACTTTGTCCCCACGGCTCTGCAGCTCCCACGTCCTTTGAATCAAAGGCCACGTCTTGCCCGAGGCTGACGCTGACATGGTTCCCATTCCTGCCCTCCCAGGGGACATGTGTCTAGCTCCAGTCCCCAGTTCACCTGCGTGTGATGATCTAGAAAGGACTGTTTCTAATGGACACCCGAAACCACACAGCAGGGAGAGGTAGGTCTCAACAAGGAGCCACCCCAAGCAAAGGGGGTCTTCAGAGACAAGAGTCCTACGTAGCCTGGGATGGCCTTGAACTCACTATAGCCAAGGATGGCCCTCCCACCTCCGCCTCCCCAGTGCCAGGATGACAGGTGTGTGACACTTTGTTCTGTTTATCTTAACTTTTCAATACTTACTATATTTTTTTTTAAATGAAAAACCAAGTTTAGTTTTCTTGCAGCCCTCGGGGCCCTGCCTGCCTCCCTCTCCCAACCAGCCAGGTTCCCTCTTGCCTCAGGACTTTGGCACAGCCTCCGGTGCCCCCCAGCAGATACCACCCTTGGCTGCCGTCAGGGAGGACTCACCAGGGTGGTGATGTTCACTACGTGTACCATCATCTCAGAGAAGATGCTAGCGAGGGAGAGAAATTGAACATCCTTCTAAAAGAAAAGCCCCTGCATCAACCCTAGGGCGGGAACCCCAAGAGGATGAGCCACCTATGTCAATGGAGGAGAAGCTGCCACCAAACTCTGAAGGCTGACCCAGGCCTTTGCATGTGCTAGGCAGGCAGGCCTTTTTTGCTCCTGAGCAACCTCCCAGCCATCAGTCATTTTAAGACAGGTTTGGTGGCTTAGGACTTGCCATCCTCCTGTCTCAGTCTGCACCACTACAAAAAACACTCGGGCTTAAAAACAAACCCAGACACTTCAGTGGAAACCAGGCTGCACTTCCTGCTGCGGAGTCGAGGCATGGCGGTTCTTTGGGGCCCTGAGAGACACCCTCACCTGTTGAGCTCCCCCGGCCGTTCCATGATGGGCAAATACTGACTGGAGAGGTTGGAAGGCTGGAAAGGTCAAAGGTCAAAACCATCACTGGCTGTATCTCCCCTGCAGCCACCCAGGTGTGGAGTCATGGCCAGCTGCGTGGAGCCGGTTAGGCTGGGAGCATGGTAGAATCTTCTAGACCCTGGAACAGTGGTTCCCCACCTTCCTAATGCTTCACCCCCCTTTAGTACAGTTCCTAACCCTGTGGTGACTCCAACCAGAACATTATTTTTGTTTCTACATTATAACTAACATTACTAAGGTTAAGAATTGTAAATAGCTGACATTCAGAACATCTGATAAGTAACCGCCGAGGGGTCCCAACCCCACAGCTTGAGAACCGCTGTCCTACGGTCAACTTAGTGCGCAGACTTCTGACATTACCTTGACTTTTAGAGAAACAAGGAGGGAGACAAGGGAAGGGAGAAGGGAGGAGAATCTACCCTCCCCCCAAGAAAGAGTCGATGTGTCAGATTGTTCTGAAACTACCTAGAGCTGGCTGGCTTTTGAACTAAGAGATCCACCTGCCTCAGCCTCCCAAATCCAAGGATTAAAGCTGGGCACTGGACTTTAATCACAATATAGTGTTAACACATGGAACTCAAGATCAGCTTGCTAGGAGGGGCTCCAGCCCTGACCACACCATGCACTAGGGACCAGGTGAACCCCTAGTGTTAATCACCACTTGATTGACATTGGGAAAGTCACTTCCGGCTGTGGGCCGGGTCTTGGTCTATGGTTGTTTCCACCTGCACTGTCAGGGGTCACAGGTGCAGACACTGTGAGGGGCTCGGGCTGGGGTGCAGGCCTTTCAACCTAGCTAGGCAGGCACGATTGCCGCGAGTTCCAGGCCAGGCAGGGACAGTAAGACTGAGTCTCCCAAACCCCAAACTCAGTAGGAAGAGAGGAAGCTAAACTGCACCCCTCGCCACCATTTCTCTCACCAAAATTCCACCAGAAGTGCCGTTGTTCTGTCGGTGGGAAGTCATCTAGAAGGTTCTTGAGGTCACAAATCAGATTCTACAAGTTCTACAAGGAGCAGATATAGGTTTTGGGAAGGCAGAAAAGTCGACCCCCCTACCCATCCTTGTAACCTCTCCATCGTCCAGACCCAGCAGAGGAGAAAGCCCCTTCCCCATCCCCACGTCCTCTAAGTTCCTTACGCCCCGGCTTTACTACAGGGGCTACGGTTTCAGACCCCGACCCCCCAAGCTGAGCACCAGGGGCCTCATTAGTACCAAGACCAGAGAACCAGGCACCTCCACTCCCTAGCGGGAGCAGTCACAAATGCAGCGGATGGTTTAACGGAACGAGTACGAGTTTGCCAGGCGTGCCAGTTAAGCCTGCATGTGGTGCACACAGATACACGCTCAGGCACACACTTAAAACACTTTTTAAAAAAGAACAAAGGAGACAAGAGAAACGACACTTGGTCCACTCCCAAATCACTCAACCTGGGTAAACTCCCCGCTGCAGTCGGTTTTGGGAGGGTCCACACCCCTCCCTCGGGCTCCCTCCTCTCCCCCACCCGTGCAAACCGCCTGCAGGAAGCGGGCTGCCCTCACGCACCACCACTGAGGCTGGGGAGGCCCCGGGGAGCCCAGAGCAGCCTCAGAGGTCAGCCAGGTTCAGGTCAGCGAAGGCGCTCCTGCTGGGCCCCGGGCTATTTGACCCCTCTCACCCCGCCCCTCTAGCCAGGCCACGCCCACCGCGACCGCACCCACCGAGGGAGGCGTGTCAGGGCCCAGGCCACGGGTGCACGTGGGCTCCGGACACCGCGGGCCGCCCCCGCAGGCCCTGACCAATCGGAAGGCCGCGAGCCCACGTGGGCAGCGAGCCAGGATGCTCATTGATCAGTTGGTGGCCGTGCTGTCAATCACGGAGTTTCTGCTGTGGCTTAACCCTCGCGTTCCAGGTGTGGCGCATTCCGGAGCTGGGAGACTTGGGGAGAAGCGGGTTTGGGGCTCAGCAGGTGAAGGTGGTTGCCGCCTACACGTTTGATCCGCGTTCAATCCCTGGGACCCACGGGGTGGACGGCGAGCTCACTCTTGCACATGCACACACTCCCCAAATAATTTTCTTTTAAATATTACTGGAACAGGAGAGTCAGGATTCATCCTGGCTGGCACGCATGTGCCCTGGGCCCTATCCCCACTTGAACATGGCATGGTCAGACACCTTCATCATCCCAGCACTGGGGAGGGGAAGGTCGGAGGGTTACGAGTTCGAGATCATGCTGAGTTACACAGCAAGTTCCAGGCTAGCTTGGGCTACATGAGACCCTGTCTCGAACAAGAAAGAAAGGAAAGGCCTAGGGCACAATGCCAAATGCTCAGACACCCAAATTCAAGGACAGGAAGTAAGGCAGACTCCTGCGAGGCCTCAGCCCCTGACCCCTGGCCCTGGATGGAGGGTCCTGGAGTAAGCTGAGGGTAGCCCGGGTGAGAGTGGACTCTTTGGACCTCCCTACCCGCCCTCCTACGCCCACTCCAGCCACAGGTGGGGGGTGTGAAATTAAACCACTGTGTAACCTCACCACCTCAGACACGGAGGCAGGGGGGTGATGGTGAGTTTGGGGCCAGCCTGGTTTCCATAGTAAAAGCAGGTGTAAAACAGAAAGTGGTGAAGGCGATCCATCGCTGGCAAGCCTCATGGTTTGAGTTTGACCCCTGCCCCACTCAGTATAAGGTGAGGATGCATTCTAACTCCCCAAAAATGTCTTCTGGCACCCACGCATGAATGAATGATTGTAACTCAAGTAGGCCTCGGTTACAGCAACTCTTCCTTCATTAAAAAGTATTTTAAGGGCCTGGAGAGATGGTTCAGCAGGTAAGAGTTAAGACTGCTCTTCCAGTGGACCCAAGTTCAATTCCCAGCAACCACACGATGGCTTACAACCATCTGTAATGAGATCT